GTATAGTTTAAAATAACAGTTATTAGATTTAATATTATTAATAAACTTTTTAATTTATTTTATAAAATATGATGTATCAGAAATGATGATATAACTTATATAATGATAGAAAGACAAAGAAGAAAAACAAAGAAATATAAATACTCCTGCAAGATATAAAAAAAGCATTTGACTCAATTCTACTTGAAAGTTATATTAACTTGATCCAAGTAATTATCAAAAAATTATAATAATAAAATTAGTATTAAACAAATAGAAATATAATAAACAATTATTTATTAATTATTTATTATACTCTATTGTTTAACATCAATCAATTTTATTAATAAAAAATATTTATCGGATTTGTTAAGCAATATATTATTATGCCTTGTTAGTTAACATTCTTGAAACTTCTTGATGTAGTATATAACTAACTTATTTTTTCATTAAGATAATCTATTTTTGCTTTCTAAGTAAAATTACTTAGAACATAGTTTTACATATAATAATTATTTTGGTAAAATTACGTTTTTCTTCTAAATAATCATAAAATTTAATTTAATCGATTAAATTGAGGAAAATCTTCAGCTCAAAGTTTATAGTAAATTCATATGTTTTTACATAATTTTATTATAGACAACACTCTAGGAGAAATGTCCTGTCTGTTAATAACATTTTTGGTTATTATCCCAAATACTGTTTCTCAAACCGAACTACGTAATAACGTCGTCATTCATAACGAAAGATTTGGGTCGCAGCCCTACTTTTCTCCTTGTTCAAGCATCAAATCTTCAATAGTAATTCTTTTATCACGAAACCATCCTAAATGGTCTGCTATTAAATGATTATTTTTGCATGAAGAACATTCGATTATAACCACACCATGATTATATGCTTGTTTCGACATGGTCTTTGTTGAACGATATGAACAAACTTTACATGTAAAGGCTATCATAAGACGACCAACAGTATGGGTGAAGCGGGAACGTTCGCCTAGGTGAAATCTATAGTTGTTAGACGAAATTATTTTATGACAAAAGGACGAAAGACGAAATCTACCTCCTGAAAAACGAAAATGACGAAGCTCTTGCAAAAAACGAAATTCTTTGCGGAAGTTGAAATCCCCAATAAAGCTTCTGCGAAAGAAGAAATTCTTCGGCGAAAAGACGAACATCGATGAACTCGAATTATAATAGATATCGTATTCTCGTTATGCAGAAATTCAGATGATTCAAATCTAAATTTGGCCAGGTGTGACAAATGTCGAAATCGCATCACGTCGGGTACTATACTATTAATTTTGTCGGGCCTGCCCCTAAATACATTACAAAAAATGCCTTCATTTACCAATATAACACAGCCTTTATCAGGGTTTCGTCTTTCTTTTTCTGGAGGTTTTCTTTCGCCAGGGGCTTCTCCTTTCTCCGGGGGCCTCTTTTTTCGCCAGGGTTTCGTCCTTTCGCCAGGAGGCTTCGATTTTCGTCTTTCGTTTGCTTTATGTTTCGTCTATCGCCGTTTAAGTGAAATTGTTTCACCCAACAGCCACAGTAACGTTACGACAGATAATATGGTAAACGATAAGTTGAGTTCAAGCGATCGACATTCCACGCGTAATTCACGTCATTGGACACGTTTAGAATTAAAGATCTTGGAGAATCTTGTTTCTAAATATGGTCAAGATTGGAAGAAAGTAGCTGAGCATATACCTGATAGGATGCCAAGCGAATGTGAATCTCAATATGTAATCATATCTTCACCTGACTATACCTCTTCTCGTGCTAAAGCAAAAAGCGCGCGTACAAAAAGCGCTCGAACAAAACTTAAATCTAAGCTAATTTTGACTGAAGAAGAATGTGAACTTTTGAACAATTTAATTGGGAAATACGGTTGTAGATGGTCAAAATTTTCAAAACATTTTCCAACAAAGAGTTTAAACTCTATTGAATCATTCGTACGTAAGAATCCAAATAAATTTTCTTCTATTTTCAAATTCCCAGAAAGATTGAGGAAGCACAGATGTTGGACTGATAGTGAAATGAAATTATTAAACAATCTAATTATGAAATATGGTCGTAATTACGATGCAATTTCTCGAAGAATACTTGGTAGAACTTCAGAAGCTGTGTCTCGATTTTTGCCGCGTCATTCTCCAGATCTACCCGCACTTCGTAATGCGAATATTTTAAGATGGTTCAAATCTTCAAGCTTATGGACTGAACGTGAAACACGTACATTAAATGATCTTGTTGAGCAATACGGTAATGATTGGTTCCTTATATCAAGTAAACTTTACGGGAGAACGGCATTTGCATGTCAAGATAAATTTTATGCATGTTGGCAACCAAACAAAATTAAAAAAGAATTAGTAATACATAACTGGCCGCAAGAAGCAATTCGGGTTTTGGACTACTTAATCACAAAATATGGAAAATGGCAAATAGTCCCGATTCTTTTACCCGGAACAACACCATTTAATTACTATATGCGTTCTGCAACTAATATCTGGGGTTGGAGAAACCATGAAATATCACTTCTAAGGGATTTGATACAAAAGTACGGCCACGATTGGAAAAAGATTAAAGCATATCTTCCACATAAACGTATCAATTCGATCGAGCATCATGTGAAAACAAATCCTCAACTTTATAATATTGAAGATCATAAAAATGACACAGAATTATATGAAATTGAACAAAATTTTAGTGTACAAAGGCGATGGAGCGCAGACGAATTGAGAAAACTCTTAGAGTTAAAATCACAATATGAAACAGATTGGTGCAATATTTCTGAGGGGCTCCCTGGTAGATCACCATCAGCGTGCTTTTATAAATACCAAGTAATGACAAGGTTATTAATGAAGGTCGGAAAAGATTGGCATTCTAGTGCCATTATACAAGTTCAAGATTTTTTCCAGAAATATGGTCCAGACTGGGAATTGATATCACAAAATGTATCAAATAAAAGCCCTGGAGAAATACAACAATTGGTAAATGAAAATCCGATGTTTTTTTCAAATCCTGGGTTTGATAGACATTTTATTGACACTACCGGAAAGACTGTAGTTCAATCTTGGTCTGAAGAAGATATATTAAAGTTAAAGAATTTTACAGAAATATATGGTAAAGATTGGAATAAAATTGCGTCTCAATTGCCGGGGAAAACATCTGAGGATTGTGAAGAATATTATAATTTATATAAAGACAAGTTTCCGAATTTGAATACGAATCACTTGACAATATCAGATAATGATAAAGCATGGACTGAAAAAGAAAAACAAACATTAAAAGACTTGTTAGAGAAATATGGTACAGATTATGATCGGATCGCAAGATTTATTCCAGGAAAATCACAAGAATCGATTAGATCATATGTTACTACACATAAACAAGAACTTTTACCCAAAGAACTTGACATGTACGAAAATGAATCATGTATGCCACCATGGACGAAAGATGAAGAGAATAAATTGATTAATCTTGTAAGACTTTATAGGGAGGAATGGAAAATGATATCTGATTATTTACCTGAAAGATCTCCAATTGCTTGCAAACGTAAATATTATACTATTTTACACCCAAACCTTTCAAAAATTGAAGCGATCTCGTAAGAATAAAAATCAAATTTTATGTATTTTTGATTACGTTAGTAATAATGTATATAAATAATTTGTGAATAGTCAAAATGTAATTTAATATTATGTATAGATAACAGATAATAAAATTAATATAATTTCTTCAATTGTTTATTGATATAGTAAAAAATATCGATTTACCAAGATTAGTCTAGAATGCACAATTTGTAACTTTTCAGGCAAACATGTTTTTCTGTTTGTTGATTATCTACGTTTCCGAAACTTAAATTTGTGTTGTCCGGCCCAAATTATACACTTAATGTTGCCGAAGTGGTATTGTTACACCGCATTAAAAATTATATTTTTTGCTTCCAAACACAAAAAAACAAATTGCTTTTATAACAAATTAATAAAGTTTTAGAGATATTAGCTTGGGCTTGGGTTTTGGATTTGGGCGCGGACAAATCCAAATTATAATAGTTTGGGAGCCGGCAAGTATACTTCCGGTCGAATTGGAAATTTGTTTATAAACGCATCTGGAGAGTTTAGATACATTATGCCTTTTGGGCAGGTAACAAACATTGTTTCGATTATCAATATTCTTCATGTTTTAACATCTTACAATTTGTTGGCACATTAAGGTTGTCATTGGGCCTCCCGGCTCGGGAAAAACTACCTATTGTAATGGCATGCAACAATTCCTTCGCGCCACAGGAAGGTAAGCAAGCTAGTACATTTCGTTAACTTGGTTAACGTATTCTGTACCTAATGGCATTATTAATTCGTTGATATGATCATTTAACATAGAAAAATTTCGGTAGTGAACCTTGATCCGGCAAATGATTTCTTACCATATGAATGTGCAATAAATATGGCAGATTTAATTACATTAGGAGAGGTTATGGAAGAATTTAAGTTAGGTCCAAATGGGGGTATGATGTATTGCATGGAATATTTAGAAAAAAACATTGATTGGCTTGAAGAAAAGCTAAAGAGCTTAGAAGGTTCATTTTTAAGATTTTTAGTTTTTTATCTATTTATTTTATTTAAAATGAATATACTTGATTATTGGATAACACGTCTATATAAAATAGACGAATATTTTTTATTCGATTTTCCTGGTCAAGTTGAACTCTTTACTCATCACGAATCGGTTAAAAATATCATTGAAAGATTGCAAAAATTGGACTACAGGGTAATGAATGACACTTCAATACTTAATTTTTATTTTAAGGATTGGAACCGCCTAAAATGGTTCTAAATTATTCAACCATATTAATCGTTTAATTTAACCTGGAATTAAAATAATTTCATCAATGACCATATAATTTGATTAGAACTATGGAAATTTTTGTGCGGTTAAACGGTTCCAACCCTCATATTATTTCATATAATTAATTTTCTAGATATTTAACTTTTAGTTGTATTTATTCTTATTAGCTTGTAACGGTTCATCTGGTAGATGCACATTATTGTACTGACCCATCAAAATATATTTCAGCACTATTATTGTCACTTAAAACGATGTTACAAATCGAATTACCTCATATTAATGTACTTTCAAAGGTTGATCTGATGGAATCGTATGGCAAATTAGGTAATGTTATAATATATATGGTATATATGATTTTTGAATCGTTTTATTAATAACAAATTTAAAAATAATATTCATTTAGCTTTTAACTTGGATTTTTATACCGAAGTACAAGACTTATCATATTTACTAGAGCATTTAGATACTGATCCATTCGCAAGTAAATTTAAAGAATTAAATAAAGCATTATGTGGATTAATAGAAGATTTTAGTTTAGTTGGATTTTATACACTTTGTATAGAGGTATGCATATTTCTTAATTCCTTCATGTTATTTAATAAATGTCTCGAAATTTGATGATACTGGAAATAACAATTCATATTGTATAATGCTACAGTAAATTTATAATTTATTTCTTATCTATATCTAGGACAAGAATTCGGTGATGAACCTTGTTAAAGTAATAGACAAGGCAAATGGATACGTATTTGGCGGATTGACAGAGGGTAATGAAAGTATTATGTTGACTGCAATGAGTGATATAAATAGCTTTCACAATGTTATGGATGTGCAAGAAAGATGGTTAGAACATAGAGAGATATGGGATGAATGGGAAGCTAAACAAAACCAACAATAGATGGGCCAATATAAACAAGGACGATACCTTTAAGATGTTTACAATGATTTGTATTTTGATAAACTAGGTAAATGGAAACCATTTAAGGTCCGAAGGACTTAAAATTACTTTTTATAGTTGATCACAGATCAGTCCGGAATGTTTGTTTTTATCAGATCAACCAATCAAAACCCTCTTAATTGGCGGACACACACATAGGGTCGTTAAAAAGCTTGTACGGACTCGACTCAAGGACCAAGTCCTAATCGAAGTCCTATTTACGAAGTCTGGACCGAAAGGATCTGACTTTTAACAGGGCTATAGGCTACTTTCTCGTGATTGGTAGATCACATGAAATTGTATATTTTTCTAAAAGCCTGTTTTATTTATTATACCGAAGTAATATGAGATCTAAAATCTGTAGTCTATTGTATTGTAATTAACGCTTGTTGTAAAAAAATCTATTAAACCATGTAAAGTTTGTTGTAATCTCTAAAATTTTTAAATGTTTTTATTTTTTTTAACTAATTTCATTATTATACATTAAAAGTTCTTTATACTATGTTATAAACATATACGTAGCTTAGCGAAGCGTTTTATCTATTCTTAAAAAAGAAGTTTGCTTTGTAAATTTTATCTTCTAAGTAAAATACCTCTATGTCGTGGATCTTTTTAGATTCTTTTGCATAGTACTGTTAGAGCTTAACCGAATATAGAGACGGTCTTAATTTTTCATTTTTTTTACTTGTAAAATGTAAAAAGTATTCAAACTGTATAAATACAATTGTATGTGATTGATCAATCAGAAGAAAGTTAGCCTATAGCAACTAGGGTCTTTCCGAACAGGAGGAACCGTCGATGTTACACGACTGATCATTCACTCGGTGTGTAACATATAAAAATATTTATTTTACAGTACTAACGGAACTGTAAAATAATTTTTTTATATGTTGCACACTGGGTGTGTGTAACATCGACAATTAATTTTGAGTTGTTCACATGATTGTGTGATTAATGATGGCTGATTATCTTGCGATCATCTGTTTATATAAATCAAATCTTTTTATTATGAATTCTCTAGAGCACGCTCCTTAGATCCCTTACCATTCAACGTTTGACAAATCGATTGACTATTGGTTTGGCTTGAGTCATTAGTGTGCTATATCAATAATTAAAAGGATTTTGTTTTTACGCAGAGAGTTTTTCTTTGCGTAAGAAATGTCTTTTGAATGGTTTACTGTATTAAAAATTTGGCTTCTTGTATATATATATTTATTTACCAATAAAAAAGTAAACTACACATTTTTGACTCGAGGCATAAATAATTTTTAGGCGAGTAATGTTAATTAACGTCCTAAGGAGTTAATAAAGTCTAATGATTGAGAATATGAAAACAAATATTATGTTATACTCAAGTTTGACCCATTTTCCAACATATACATTATTATAAAATTTTTTATTATCAGGCACTTGTCATACAAAAATAAATTATGTAAATATCATAATAAATATTACAACGTTCTTTTTTTTTTTGGAAAGGAAATTTATCATAATGTACTATTTCATGAACTGCAATTCGCATATAATAAATGTTATTGATAAAAAAATCACCATTCGGCTTCAAATACTGCTGCCATACCCATACCACTACCAACACACATAGAAATTACGCCGAGCTTCTTCTTGGTTCTTCTTAGTTCATACAAAAGTGTAGAAACTTGGCGTGCACCTGTACATCCAAGAGGATGTCCGATAGCAATCGCACCACCCTTTGGATTAACCTTTTTCTTATCAATGCCTAATTTTTCAATGCAATAAACAGCTTGAGAAGCGAAAGCCTCATTAATTTCGTAAATGTCGATGTCATTAATTCCAAGTCCAGTTCGTTTAAGCACTTCAGGAATAGCATAGGCTGGACCAATACCCATAACACGTGGTGGAACACCAACAACCGAAGAACGAATAAATTTACCAAGAATTGGCAATCCAAGTTTTTCAGCAGTCTTTCGTTTCATTAGCAAAACGGCAGCTGCACCATCTGAAACTTGTGATGATGTACCAGCAGTCGTAACACCATCCTTCGCAAAAGCGGGCTTTAATTTAGCCAAACCTTCAAGTGTAGTACCTTTACGAATACCGTCATCTGCAGAGACAATAATAGTTTTCTCTTCCTCAGTTTTAGGATCAATCCATTTCGTCTCCACAGGAATGATTTCGTCCTTGAAAAATCCAGCTTCTTGGGCAGCAGCAGCTTTTTTATGAGATTCAGCAGCAAAAGAATCCTGTTGGACACGAGTAATACCAAAATCCTTTGCAACATTTTCGGAAGTAATTCCCATAGGCAATAGGCAATCAGCCGATTGTTGATTTGAAAAGACTTTTTCAGATGTATCAGAGGGCATTGCACCAGCACCAAATCCATATGTCATACTTTCAACACCAGCACCTAAGGATATAACAAATAAATTAATGAATGTTAAAATCAAATTTGACATCTGAGTGAGTGTCAAAGGAAAACTTTTAGATAATCTTCTTTGATTCTTTGATATCACTCATTTGGGAAATTAATATTACCAATTCCAACTTCAATTTGATCCAAAGCAATTTCATGAGCAATTTGTGTAACAGCCTGAAGACCAGAAGAACATTGTCTATTAACAGTGTTTAAGGCACAAGTGTCAGGAATGCCAGCGTACAAAGAGGCAGCGCGAGCAACTGTAGCACCACCACCAGGAGGAAGTACATTTCCAACAGCAATGTCTTGAATAAGTCTTGGGTCAATTTTTGATTTGTCGAGAACAGCCTTAAAAACGGCAGCCAAAAGCTCCTCAGGAAGAGCATCCTTAAATCCGCCTTTTTTCGATTTTGTCATGGGAGTACGAACCGCAACAACAATAACAACATCTTCAGGACTTTTTTGACCAACCTTAGCAACGGCAGGGTTATAATTGCCAGAAAAATGTCCTGCAACCTGTTGAACTCTTTGAGCCATTGTAAAATTAGAGGGAAAAAAAAAAGTTTCGGTATGATATTGGCAAATGCAAAATAATGCAAGAATTTATTTTAAATGATATAAGATTATCAAATGATCAACGTAAAAATGTAATTCTGTATTGTTTAGTAATCTTAATTACTTTTGATGTAATACGTAATACTTTGCTTACTACTACTATAGCTGACTTTCTCGTGATTGGTTAAATTTTATACAACTTGTATACAGTTATACTTTTTAAGAATGTGTGATGCTTCACAAATGAATTCCATCTTCGAATAAACATCGCTATACAAAAGATTGAAATTTCGGCAAATGCAAATGCATATTGGCACCAGGCCAGGCACTACGTAGTGCCTTGTGCCTATAGGCACGAAAGTGCCAGGCACCATTAAAGTCATGGCAGACCATTAAAGGCGCCACAAAATGCCAGGCCCTAGTAAAGGCATAGGCGCCGGGTACAAAAGTGCCAGACACAATTAAATAATTAGTCATGGTTTTGACAATCAATAAATCTGAAGTAATCTTTTTTTTTATTAACGTTACTAATAATAACAATTTTGTCATCAAACTACATAAAGTAACGGAAGATATAATGGTGCACTTAAGAATTGCTAATACGTAGTTAATTTCTGAATAAAATTGAATATTTACAAAGCTTATAGAAGTTATACCTTTATTCAAGTATAGGGTTGGATCGGTTCGGTTCGGTTCATCCTCAGTTCTAATGAAACTGATTAAATAATATTTACAGTTCAGTCCAGTTCAGTTACACAGTCTTCAAATCAGTCTTCGATCTTCGCAATACTTTTACATTTTAAATACTTATATTAGTTATATTTAGGGTTGTTAAATTGAGTATATGGCTCTAGAATAACTCTAGTTTGACTTCAACCCAACTTGGAGTAGATTAAAATTTAATAAACTGAAGTAAACCAAAATAATTAATCAGTTTGTTAAACTTGAGTATTTTTTTTTTTTAAGGCCGTGGTTATCGGTAGTTATTGTTTTATTGTATTTTAATTATAGTTACATAACTTGTACAAGGTAAGTCTACAACTAGTCATATGTACAACTTTTAGTTGTCTATTTTAAGTAGTCCATCTGCATAGCAGGTTCTACACTAGCTGCTATATCTGCAATCTATTAGAAGATTATCTATTTAAACACTCTGATCTTTATACTTATATTAACAAATAGTGCACAAATTCCTATATACCAAAGTGTTATCTAACCTAACTTTGACCTTCTTATCTGTATGTTTATTAAGATGTTATACATTTCAAAATATATCACCTGACTGTAGAACTCTAGAGAGTCTCTCTGTTAACTAATTAGTCATATTTAGTTTCTTGTTAATAAGATTCATCTTTGCAAAGTTCATTTAGACCTCAACACTGATTTTATAACATATTCTTAATACTTATAGTATATTCTTGTTTCTGATCTTAGACTTTTAATTCAAATAATTCAAAAGGACTATAACTTGTTTCTGATATTTCAGAATTTGCTTTCAAGGTTCTTTTTCTTCAGTTCAAAACTTCTGGTAGTCTAAATAATGATATCTCTTATTTGAGGTTCTTGCTCATTTGATTTCTTTCATATTTGTATTTGTTTTTTAGATCTAATCTTTATAGTAATACTATCAAAAATCTGTATTATTTCTCTACTCAAGTCTTTTTAAGTAGGATTCAACTTCTTAATTTACAGATTTACATAGTTATAAAGACTTATCTTGAGTTTGCACTACCTGATGCTAATTTGCATTTCTCTGTATAACTTCAATATTACACAAATGTCCTATAACTTGCTAGTCATGCTAATATGACTATGTTACAGATATCTTATCTTAACTGATCAACAAAATATCATTATTGTAATACTATCTATATATTATATAAGTAATTATCTAAAATTTTACTATGAGTAGGTTTTAAACTCATTATTTACTACTTGAAGAGTTAACAACTTATCTATTTTACTAAGTTACCATATCTTTAAACTTAAGTATTAAAAATTATATTATTAA